AGAAGGAAATTGTGTAAAATGAGTGGGCATCGTACCATGCATGACCAGTTGGTGGGAGTTCATCTAGAGAGAGGAGTAGTTAAAAATTCATATGGTATTTTTGGCTACCTTTGGGTGCATGAGGGTGTAGCCTTATCCTATAAAACTGTCAAGGAACTGTCCTATAGTTTGTCGAGAGACTAATGTAACCTCTCCCAATATCCACCAGACATTAGGAAGGGTTAACTAAATTATCACACTCACAAACCAAATTGTATTCCAAAATCTTTGTTTGAAAGGCTTGGGACCTAAGACTTGTTTTTCAAAATCAACAAAATCCTTAACATATCAGGGCAATACACAGCGAAAATCCAACATATGCTTTCATCATACTCATTGCATGCTTGAACACAGAAGAAATAAGGTCAGATTATGGGGCATGCATTGTGGCATACTCCACAAACGCCATGGCATGTAGCAGCCATGAGCACCATATCTCTACCATGCACTGTGGCATGACACACATGTACTGTGGTGCACATGACATCAATTTTCTATTATCATATGACAGCTCGCATAATTAATTAAAGTCATACTAGTCTTCTTTCATCTATAGTCCCTCATAGATGATCGACTAGAGACATTTAGGATAATCAATATAACTTATCTAAGGATACAGTTATCATAATGAACATGCAATTAATATGATAGCAAAAGAGAAAGTCTATAAATAACAACGTTCATAGTATAATGATTGGCTTTAAGGCACAATTTCCAACAAGAGAAGTGTTCATTACACAAAACTCTAGAATTCTTCGACAATAGGACAATTATGCCAATCCTGACTTTCTCTTTACCCGGATCACTACTTTGACTTGTAAAAATATAACTACGGGGTGAGATAATAATATCAACAACAAAATAATTCTATACTATCAATTATGACATGCAACTATAAGCAAATATTACATGATATATAGATGAACATAACATGTAACATGGTTTTCACTTCAAATTGCTATATAGATATAACATTTCACCACTCTCATAAGCAGTTTCTCGTTAGTTCACCACTAATATAGCATATAGCATATGGCATATAACATGATCACTACCATTTAAACCTATAAATCACCTTGACTTAAAACCATAGGCTCGCCTTAGACTAACGCACATGCTCATTCACCTTGAGCTCACTTTCAATGGTAGAATCACCTAGCTAAAGGTGTTCTATCATACTTTTGGACTATGATTTCTCCTATTACATAATAGCGTGTTGTTGGCTCTAATGTTGCATCACAGATGTTAAGGGGCCCATATCTCCAACACTGAACCTTAATAGGTAGTAAGAAGATAATCTCCAATGTAGCACCTCAATAGGTATTGAGGAGATCCAATTCTCTAATACCGCACCTCGTCGGGTACTAAAGAAAATAATGCCATATGGTCTCTATAGGTAAATTCTCACCCCTATGATCATGCTTTAACACAAACCACATTTCCACATATATAAAATCATATACAGATATATATATATATATATATATAACGGGATCTTCTTGATTCACATCTAACATATATTAAATGCAATACTTCCTTTTTAAAGAGGGCATGTGAAGAGTGCTAAATAGAACCATAAAAATACCAATAGATTCTTAATGTTAGAGGTTTTAAATTTTAAAGCTGAATATATACATTGAACTAGCATTGCTTTTGCATTATTCATTTGGAAGCGTTCATGAAAGTCTTATGATGGTGTTTGTCTCTACTCTTTCCCGGCACTATTTCACACATAAAGTAAAAAAAAGTGCAAATAAAGAGTAATTAAACGAACATAAACCTGTTTCCCACCCTGACAATTGAGGGTGGATTCAAGGATAGGAGACCTAATATTTAAGGAAATGAGCAATATGAAGAATATTTGATTTTGAGAGAATCAAGAAGATGTGAACCACTATCTAGTTGTTCTTAACCTCGTCCAACCAAATCCTCACTCACATCACCGATTGCTCCTCGGTGATGCCATACATCACGGCTATTCAACCATTGATTTTTCTCTCTAGTTCTTCAATCATCTAGTTCTCCAATGGGGTTGTCTTTCTCAAAACTCATCACTCACAACTCGCTCATACCTTAGATAACCGTTGCTGCACCGTCAAATCTATCCCATATTGTCAACCATCGCATAGCATTCTAGACTCTTATGTATCTCTGAATTGTGCGATGAAAGGAAGAAGAAAGGGTGGTTTTCTTTTTCAAATTTCTTTGTTTAAGATTGGGGCATTTTGGTCAAATGAAAATATTGTTAAATGAATAAAAGATTCAGCTTGGTTATTCAAGTATATTTGGTCCATAGGGCTAATTTTGGTTCTAACAAGGTCCTCTTGACCAATTTTCCCTTGTAATTTTAGCAAAAAGGAAAAAAAAAACAAATGGAGGTCACTTTATTTTACTCATAAAGTAATGCATGCGTACGATAAAATGTTGGCAAAAACGTAAAATATATATATATATATATATATATAATATTTAGATTAGATTGTGAAGATCAAATTAAGAATTGAATGGGATCATACGAACAAAACAAATTTCGTTAATGAATGAATAAATTTATCTATGTTTTTTTTTTTTTTTTGGGTTCCCATATCACTTTAAAAAAATTTATCTATGAATAAATTTAAGTGGTTTTTAAATTGGAGGGGAGGGATTATAATTATTTCATTTTAAAAAATAACAGAGAAGTTGAGTTAAAAAATTTTAATTAATTTTTCTTTCTCTTATAATTTACATATTTTTTAACTAAAATTTCACAACTTGCCTCTTGTTTGGTTGAAAAGAAAAGTTAAAAGAAAAATAAAAAGAGAGAAGCGGGGAAAAAAGAAAACTGAAAGAAAATGTTATTATTTATTAAACTCTCCCCTCTTCTCCTTTTCAAAAATCTTTCAACCAAAAAAGGGGTCAAATACATAACATTGGTCTCTCTATGAATTAAAAAGCAGTGACATATCTCAGAATTTAATTTTTGGCTAATTAAACATCCAGTATAAACATATATGTTAGCTGGCTGAAAAGGGATAGAACACATATGCTTTCATTAGGGTTTAGCGTTTGGTATGGTTGGGGAAAAAAATTGTAAAGAAAGAAATCGTAGAATGAGGTAAAATCATGTTATTTGAAGTCACACTTGATATGAAATTAGAAAACACAAAAATACCTTCTTTTTCTTACTTGAATGTTTAGCAGATTGTAAGTAGCGCAAAAATAAAAATGAGTAAATAACAACACGCTTAAATTGGTTAACGCGGAAGAAAGAAAATGGTCAATTACCTCTTCTTCTCCTCGTTTTTTTTTTGAGAAAATTATTTTTTAATCATTTAAATTTTAACTCATTTATAGTTTCTCATCTGTAACATGCTACGACTCAATCCCTCAATTTTTGACTCACTTATAACTCAGTCTTTATTTTTTAATTTTTTTTAAAAAAATTATCCTAATCAAATAAAAGAGATAAAAGAAAAATGCCCATATTTTATTCTAAAATACTCTTCTCTTACTCTTTGATGTGAGATTTAAGCTAACATGAAATAAGAGAACTAACAAAATTGAGGAATTAAGTCATTAGAAGATCAAAAATTAAGGGATTAAGTCATAAGCAAGTTAAAAGTTGAGGGACTGAGTCGTAACAAATTATAATTAAAAGATTGGGTTACAGATGAATTAAAAATTAAAGGACTAAAAGATTACAGGGCTTGTTTGGGAACCTGTTCTAGGAACAGTTTTCTATTCTGTAGAACAAAAAAATTAAAAAAATATGTTTAGTAACGTGTTTTCAAAAAGTGTTTTAAAGAAAAAATAAAATATTGTTCTAGAGAACAAAAAAATGAAAATAACTTTTAGGTATTCTGGGATTATTGTTCTAAAAAACAAGAAAAAATGAGAAAAACACTTATTTTCATTATTATTTTTTTATTTTCAGAACATGTTTTATAAAATATCAATTCTCAAAATAATAAAATAAAAATAGTTCAAACAACACCTACTTGTCCTTTTTTTTTTCCCTTAATGACGAACAACGTCCCCACTATTTAGTTTCTTGCTTATACACTGAAACATGGGACTATTTGAAAATTGTTTTTATTTTATTATTTTAAGAATTAGTATTTTGTAGAACATGTTCTGAGAATAAAAAAATAATAAAAATAGGTATTTTTTTCATTCTCGCTTATTCTTCAGAACAATAATCACAAAACACCTAAAAATTATTTTTATTTTTTTATTTTTCAGAATAATATTTTATTTTTTTGTTCTCCAAAACACTTTTTAAAAACACGTTGCTAAACAGATTTTTTTATTCTCTTGTTCTGAATAACAGAAAACTATTTTCAAGACAAATTTCCAAACAAACCCATGATTGTTTGTGTACTTGGTACTCATTCCTTCAATAAAAAACCTTTCACCAACTTGGCAATATTTTTTCACAAGGAATAATATGCTTTCAATTTTTTAATTTTATCTCAATTATTAATTTGATCATTTAAATTCATTTTTTATTAATTTGATCATTTATATTTTTCTAACTATACATACAACTCCACATATATATATAACTAAATAAAATAAATTAATTGTCAAATCAATTTAATTGAAATCAATCTAATCTTTTACATTAAATTTTGTTGTTTTTTTCTTCAAATTTGAGTGTCCTTTCCAACCTAAATAATTACTTCTTTTTATTTATCTGCATTACCATCAATATTTCACTATCTTTGTTAATAAATTTTAATAGTATTAACTCCTCATCAAACAATAAACATTAAATGGATAATTAAGACAAACTTAAAATATCAAATCAATAAAAATAACACTTGAAAACCACATAAACAAATCAATCAATTAAGAAAAACTTGAAGAACTAAAAATTTTATTTTTCTTTTTTATAAAAAGGATTAGAGTGTCATTTTTCCTAAGATTTGAAGAAAATAAAATGATTATACTTTTATATTGATGAATACAAATATCGGTGCATATTCAAAATTCTAATGGTTATCTTTTTTTTTTTCCTGACCGAAAAATTCATATTGTTATCTAATGAGAAAGTCTACATCACATATATTTGGAAATGTTTATAAATAAAGAATGAATCAATAATTAAAGCCAATCAAAATTTGGAACACTATGGATGTGCTTGCATTGAAAAGGCCCTAGTGATGTTTCCTCGCGGGGGATTTTATAGTCGCATGCCCTGTTTCTCCCAGATGTTTATGCAATTTATTCCTGTCAATCATACAATCAACATTTTATCAATCACAAATAAATTATATATATATATATATATATATCGATATAGCCAGTAGATTTACCATGAACAATAAATTCAAACACTAGAGACATGAGAGAGGTAGATTACCTTGACTCAAACTCCTCTCCACAAGCCTCACAGATATTGACCAGATTCTTTGACGTCCCCTTCATTGGGATACAAATTAAGAACAAAAAATCAGAGTAAAGAACAAAAGATCAACTTATTCACAAGATATGACATCACGAAAAAATAAATGTAATTCTGCTTCAGATAATTTATCTGCTTTAATGTCTTAATGTTCCATACTGTTAATTACACAAACCACATGAGAATAAACAACCACAAATATAGAAATACGAAGAATCATAGATGGCTGACATTATGTCAACTTAACAAGCTAATTTTACGGAAGCAAAAGTATAGTCAATAGACAGCAGAATTTCAATTTGAGGAAATCACAGAACAATAGAGACGGTTGGTATAGCAAAACTGATACAACCACATCAAACAAAAGGATTGGGAAACAAGCTTGCTGACAAATTGTTACCTTGGCTTTTCCTGTTTTGGATGAATTTTTTCCATGGGATATCTTATCCTTCGCAGCTCCTTTTTTATCAATGCGTGGATTTGAAGCCTTCTTGTCTATACTGACCTGTCCGTTTTCTTTACTATTACTCTCGTTTTCCACATTGTATGGAGAGAAATCTTCTGCCTGAGATGCATCAACGTCAATATTTTTTTCATTATGAAAATCACTATTACTAGTAGTTACCTTAAAATCTTCGCTAAGTTCTCTTCCTTTCTCTTTCTTGGCTTCACGTTTCTTTCTTGAATTTTTTCTGGTGTCATATTTCATAAAATCATTTGGAGATCTCACTGAAGCCTTGCACTCCTGCCTTGGGGCACCTGTATTTCTGCTCCTTTGCCCAGCCAGCATTGCTTCAAGGACACCCAATTCATCATCCTCTTCTTCATCAAAATCCATTGAGACACCAGCCTCCTCCCCTACTTGATGCTGCGCATCAAGAAATTCGTCTTCATCTTCCTCCTCCTCCTCCTCCTCTTCATTCAACTCAACCCCATTTCTTGTCACGCCCTCTGCAACATTAAGACCATCTTTAATTCTCCCCTCCAAATCATCAATCTCATTATCTGTGCTCCCAGATATATCATCATTCACCCCAATTCTGTCTTCATAACTTTCTGAGCTCATCTTTCCTCCTCTTTCTCCCACTTCTACTTCCACATCCTCTTCATCATCAAGTGAATCCCTAAATTCAGCAACTTTCTCCTTATGCTTCTTTGATTGCTCATGGTTCTTCCACTGCTTCTCACTCTTGAACTTCTTACCACAAAGTACACAATAAAACTCATTCTCAGCGTTCTTCTTCTTAGTCCCCTCCTCAAACCAGTCAGCCTCATCTTCTTCATCCTCCTCCACTTTGGCCCACTCTGGCTCTTCATATGCCATTGCTCTCTCCTTTTTCTCCTTCTCCAACTGTTTCTTCCTCTCCCTCTCCTCCTCTTTTTTCTTTTCCATCTCCATATTCTTCTTCACCTTCATATCAATCACCCTCTTATCCCTCTTCTTGACAAAATCAGCCAACTTCCGCACAGTGTCGTTGTACTCTTTCTTTGCCTTCTTTCTGATCTTGCTGTTCTCTTCCTCCATAAGGCGCCTTGACTTCCGATTAGGACCAGCCATAACATCAAACTCATCCACCCAACAAAAATCCATAACAGTTGAAAATCCCAACCAGTAATTGTAAAATGCTGTCACTTGAGCATAAGGGCTATCCGAATTGCCCATTACTGGGGCTTGTCGAACCACATCAATACCCAGTCCTAATTTCCTAGCAAAGTTAATTTCATTGGCATGAATTTTATCAAATACATCAGAATAGACCTTATAGAATCCCTTGCCAGAGTCTGAATATCCAGAATAAACACTCGTAGAGAAGAAGGAAAACAGATTCGGGATGAACGAGTTGGGGACCGAGTTTCCAACAGAGTTGGGATCAGAAAAGAGAATCTGAGACCGGTGGGAATCATACCATGCTCGCTCTTTAGGGTCAGAAAGAACTTCATAGGCATGTTGGAGCTCCTGGAATTGGGCTGTGGCTTCAGCTTGTGATAAGCCAGATTTGACAAGCTTGTCAGGGTGCCGCTGAAGGGCAAGACGCCTGTACGCTGACCGTATCTCATCAGGGGTACAGTCTCGCTGAAGGCCAAGGACTTCATAGTGGCATCGGTTTCCTGATGTCATGGTTCTCTGAAACTAGGGTTTTTTGGTCTATGGTTTTGAACTCAAGTGATGTATGACAGCAATGAATGGAATTGAATGATGATTGGTAACAAGAACTGAAAGAATTAATAGCTGCGAATCTGAGATTCTTAGTCTAAAATTTTGACATCTCAGGTTGAATGAATCCACAGAGCCACATGAACTACACCTCCTTTATATTCTGCAACAACGTGAAACACATCAATCACACAATATGGACGAAAATGGAGCATCAATTTTTCTTAAAAAAAAAATGCCAACTCTTTAACCTACCCCCAAAAACAAGGACCCCAACTGGCATCAGCGGACCTATATTACACTCAGAATGCCAATACACAACAAATCCAACATTGGATAACAAAACAATCCAAAGCAGATAAGTCGCTTCTCGCGAGTGATCAAAATGAAGAGGGTAAAAGTATAATAGTTCACACACCAATTGAAGCAAAAATTAGCAATAAGAGTTTAAAAAAAAACAAAAAGAAAAGAAAAAGACAATATTCAAACTATTACACAACCAGATTCAAAGCCAAATTAAAATGAAAAATTTAAAACAAAGTAAGAAACGGTGCGAGGGCGTCTGACACAGGATTGAGAGCAACGCAGAGAACGGATAATGGGCGAATAAATTCAAATCTAGATTCAGAGCCAGGTTGAACAAATCGATCTCACCGGATTGCGGGGGTAGACAAAGCCCTAGGGTTCGAACCTCCTTCAATACTTGCCCAAGAACAACCACGCAGGTCTGACGACTGACGACGGCTGATGGCTGATCGCTAACGGCTCACGACGGCGAACTTGATCGAGTGCGGAACAGGAGAACTTGTTCGTCGACGAAGAAAAATGGACATTTGGCAACACGATCCGCTACCCCAAATAATAAAATTTATTTTATTAATTTATGATACAGCAAATATATATATATATATATATATTGTATAAAATAATATTCCTTATCAAATAAAACGTTTACCATGCACATATCGTTATTTTTTATTTTTTAGGTAAAAAGCAACTTACTTTAAAATTTATTAAAAAAATTATTGACCTTTATAATTTTATTAAATTTTACTTTGAATTTTTATAATTTTTTAATGTTTTTTTATATAATTTCAATGAGTTTGGGTGTAAGAACTATATGCACTAAAAATAAATTTTAATAAAATTATAAAGATTAATTATTGTATTGTTCCTTAAAATTAAAAGGTAAATAAATAATTTTTTTTTTAAACTCTCCTCTTGTATTTCTTCAACTTTTTAAAATGTTACAATATAATTTTTGTAATTAATAAAAATTAATTTTAATTATTAATTAACTTGAAAAAAACTTAAAAATTATATAAAAAAGATTAAGAAATTACAAATAAAAATACAAAAATTACATAAAAAGGATTAAGAAAGTTTTATTGATCAATTAATGATCAAAATTAATGTTTGTTAATAATAGACATTGTATTATTATTTTTAAAAGTTGAATGAAAATATTATACAGAAGATAAATTTAAGATTCTAAAACATTTTTGGACATATAATTTCCTATAGTTTATAACTTAATTTGTTCATTTACCTAAATTATACATTTGCGAAGTACCAAAGTAAACATCTAATATCCATTTGTAGACAGTGCATCCTGAAATGAACCCTAAAACCAGAAGTCTGCAGGAATGATTGTGGAATATCAATCCATGTCGAATAGCTCCCCAACATGAGTTGAATCCTTCATTTTCCGAGGACTGTTCAGTGTTGCAACAGTTGATTCTTAAAGAAAATTAGCAACATGATTCCGTTTCATTTCCTACACTTGACCAGGAGATTGTCCATTTCAAAGAATTGAAGACCTTGGAATTTGATTATTCTCAATCCGATTATTAAACTGTGTATGTCCTTTGAAGTTATTGCACTGTATAAAGAAGAAGAAATTCCTTTGTGCCCGTTGGAATTTACGGATCTGCCTTTAATGGGAATTGGATCATTATGTTAAGTAATCAGTGGTTCTGACATTATTTCGGTAATCATAAGTTTTGACGAGAATCAAAAGTTAATGTGAGATTGATTTCTAATTGAACTTCAATTATAGAAATATTCATCCGCAATTATGATAATTATTCCAATCAGTTATTCTCTCTATTATACGGTGATTTAATGACGATTAAGTTTTGCTTTTCTAGGTTAGCCTATAAAATATCTCTCACTCATATGCTGAATTTATTTTATATTAAACAATAATATTAATATCAAAAACTCAAAATTAAAAAAAAACTACCATAATATTAGAAAGTGAAAGATAATTTTCTAAATACTACCATGATAATAAAAAGTTTTAGCATGGTAGAAAAGATAGAACCAACTTGCATTCAAGTTGGCAAGATTATGACAAGCAAGAAAATATGTTAAACTCATCAAGCTAACTAAGATTATGAATCAACTTGAAGAGGCCAAAATTTAGAGCTTAAAGTAACAAAACTCAAATAGTAACAAGCACCTCTTAATCATATGAATCATCACTTGAAATTACAAGATCAAAAAATCATACAAATTTGTAATTCTAGAGAGAGAAAAGTAGAGAGAAGAAATTTAAATCCAACTAGAAAATAATACAAACTCAAGGTTTCCTCCACCACATAGTAGCTCCATTAGGAGTGTTTTAGAGGCTACAAACACCTAAGGTAAGTATCACACTTATTAATCTCTCCTTTTCTTCCACATTTATGAGTTTATAGTTAGGGTTTGATATTGGAAGTGGATTTTCAATCCATATGAGTTATGGGTCTGAATTTATTGACTCAAATGGAGTTAATGGGAGTAGATTAGAGTATATAAACCTAGCATAATGAATTTTTAGTGTCTTGGATTGTTGTGCACCATTAAAATCCAAAAACTTCATTTATTATGGGTGGTTGGAAGGTTGTGATGCCATTAATGGAAATTTAATGGTTCATTAATGTTATTGGGGACTAGATATAGAAAATAAATCTAATGGATAGGCTCAAACTCTGGTAGAGTGGACTTTGGACAATTTAGAAATGGAGATTGAGGGTTTAATGCTTGAATTGGTAATGTTGATGGAATTCAACTTGGTTGATTGTAGTTTTGGCTTTTGGTCACCTATTGGATTGGAAATTCAAGCTTGAAAGATAGTAGATTGAGGGGTAAACTTTTGACCTCTTAAAGATTTGAAATAACTGAGAAAACCTTATTTTAGGTACTTGTATGTTAATTGTAATGTGTGAAATTTGGTATGCTGGTAATTGTGGGTTTATTATGAAAAATTATGATTTGTAAAATTGGATTACATGCATTGAAATTTGGTATGCTGGTAATTGTGTGATGTGTATCAAACATGTGAAAGTGGTTTCTAAATTAGTTTTAAAGTGGTAAATGTGGTGTTCAAAAAGCATTTCCCTTTCCAATGTATTGTGAATGAGTGATTGATGATGACTATGTTAAAGAGGATGTGTTATAATAGAAAAATGAGAATTTTGCTCACTTGGGTAGCATACGGTCGTGAGCCTAACATGTTGATTGATTTTAAGTAAATGAAAATAGGGAGACAAATGAGTATGTTTATGGCATGATTAGTGGATGGGAGTTCGCCTAGGGATTGGGAGCAGACAAAATCCATATGATATTTAGGCTGCCCTCTGGTGCAAGGGGCATAGCCTTGTCCCATAGTTTGTTGAGGGACTAGAACCTAGCTATCTCCACTAGTTCAATGAAGAGAATAGCTTAGGGTATGAGACACCCCAAAGATTTGAGAATGGGGAAAGCCGTAGTTTGAGAGTGAGTCGTATGATCTTTGGCCAGGTCACACCTCATGATTGGTGAGCTTAGGTAATCTAGTCACACAGACGGAGCCCTATTCAGTGTTATAACCTACGGTTTCAATCTGAGAAAATAAGGAGGATATAAGGTTGGTTGATCATTGCCTATGTAAATATATGATGTGTCACACGTGTTAAGTTGTGGCAAGTCACGTGAATAATAGGTCATGGTCACATATCTAAAAATATGGTGACAATACACCTAGTATATGTGAGATAAAGAAGTTATTAAATGATAAATGACAAGTTATGATATGTGCGAGCATGTTTTACATTCTTGGTTCCTTATGCATGTACTTAGTTTATAATTGATATATAACTGTATAGGATAGGTTTAACCTTAGTTATTGAGTGGTTAAACTCACCCCTTTCATTTAACACTTTTCAAGCCTTAGCTCTGGTGCAGAGGGAAAAGGCTTAAGAGGTTAGGAATTAGCATATTCCTTCTGTATGTCTCTAGTTTAGATTTATTTTGTATAATAGTATATAATTGCCAAATTTTAGGATGCATGCCATCATACTTGCACTATTTTGTTATTGCAAATGTTAGTGAGCCCTTAGTATTTGTGTATGTTGAGAGAGAGAGAGAGATATATATATATATATATATATATTTATAAGGCCAAAATACTAGTGCAAGTGTAAAAATGATGATTTGAACATGTTTGGATTGAATTGGATGCAAAATAATAACAATTTACCTCCTCCTCTGTTTTTTATAAAATAGACTTGCGGAGTAAAATTTTGTTATATTGTTGTTTTTGTACCTGTGATGTGTTGCATTGATAGTTCTAGGTCCAATTGACATGATCCAGGTGTTAGGAAAAGCTTTTGACACACGTTTGAGGGTTTTGGACACCCACTTTGTGTGAAAATTGTGAAAAGTGGTTAAAATGCATTTGGGAGTCCAACTTTCTAGTGTGATTTATTTTGAGAGTGAAACTCGTGCCATTAGCTAGCTCATGTAAAGAGATTTTTGTAGACGCCTATATCATGTCATTTGAACATCGGATAGAGAATTAGGGCACATCGAAAGTTTCCTAATTTTGCTGTCAAATGACAGCTGAATTTGCTAATTTTTCGTGCTACACACCACGGCACATGGTGCTTGAGTAGTAGGGTGTGCAATAAAGAGCAACATGCTGTGCTGCAGCGCAGCGTGCAAGAGCTGTGGTGCATTACACAATATCACAGCATATGTTTTGTTTTTCAGCTATCTTTAAATTCTTTCACTCTTTTGATATCCTAATATCACAAAAGATTCCATCAATCTATACTCCTTAACCAAAAGACTTGCCACATGCAAAGTCTTCTAACTCGATGTATTAGCAACCACATTAACTTTGCCTGGATGGTATTTCAATTCAAAGTTATAATCCTTAAGGAGCTCTATCCATCTCCTTTGCCTTATATTCAGCTCTTTTCAATCCACTAGGTATTTCAAACTCTTATGTTCACTAAACACCATGAATATTGCACCATACAAGTAATGGTGTAACATCTTTAATTTTTAATCCTGCGTTAATGACTGATTAGTTGACGAATGAGTGATTTAATGTAGGATTAGAATTATTTATAGTGGAGTGTTATTTTAACCCATTGGGATGTTATATGAATAGATGCAAGTAGAAGAGCGAAATCCTGAAATAGAACGTGTGAGCATAATGAGGATTTCCCTCACTGTGCCATGCGCTATGATGGGAGATAGATGTGCCGTGACACATGGTGTAGAACCCTGATAAGTGGGACATGTCTAGCTCATGAAAGATAGAAGGGAGAGTAAGCGAGAGTAGGTCAGGCATAGAAAAGAGTGGGAGATCTACTAAGGCAAGCATAACCAGGAGCAAGGACAGTGTTTTTAACCTATTACTTATCAGGTAAGTCACGTACTGCTTTAACCTTCGATTCTACTCTATTTTCTCTTAGTTTTAACTAGTGAGCAATTGAATTTTGGAGTTTTAAGGAGTTGATTTCTTACCCTATAGAAATAGAAAGGTTCTTCGGAACTAAACTAGCACTTTATGACTAGTTGGAGTCAAAACGATAAAACT